TTATAATTTTACATGTCAACAAACTTGAACGCGTAAAATTACAATTTTGCTTCATTTTACGACATGTAAAAATACTAACGGACGTAATTGTATGTCATTTGAGTCGCTTACATGTGTCGGTCTTAAGAGACTTAAAATTACATGAAGTTTTCGAAGTGTGGATCTGAAAACTTGTCTGAAGTTTTGTAAATTCCTCTGTAGGCTCTAGGGCTACCCTGAACATCTGAAAATGTCCCTGCAGATCTTCTAAACCCTGAAAATTTAAGATCCCTGAAATCGTATAATTATTTTTTTTTCTAAACCCCCGAACTTCACTGACGTTCTGCAAATTTTGACTGAAGATCAATTAAAATTTATGACATTCTAAAAATGCATCAGAAAATCTGCACTATTTCTCGAAGGTCTAAAAATTTATGAACATTCTTGTGTTTTTTTTTTCAAAGTTCTGTAGCTTTGTTCTGCAAATATATGAACTTTTCTGATGTTCAATAATTTTTCAGTAGATTTCCAGACTTCTGTGAAATTCTTTACATTTCACTGTAGATTCTTGGACTTTTTCTGAAGGTCTGCGAAGTTCCCTGAATATTTACCAAAATTTCCCTTATAGTTTTACAAATTGATCTGAAAATATGCTTGCTTGAAGTTTTAAAAATTTCTTTGAACATTTTTCTGACGATCTCCGATCTCTCCTGTGATTTTTTCTGAATTTCTGCAAATTTCTTTTAATTTCTCTAAAATGTACTGAAGTTTTGTAGTTCTGTTCTCAAGAACTACCCTGAAGCTCAAAAATCTATCTGAAGCTCTAAAAAAAATCTTAGTAGTCTCTTAGACCTGCTATCTGGCACTCGGCACAACGATGCCCTATACGCTATCTGACCAAAGCGCAGGGTACTATTTGGCAGCAGGGATTTGTACCTAAATTATCTTGCAACCCTTGCTAGAAGTCAGCATTTCACATGACTTTTATTTTTGATTCGATTTACGTGCAAAATATGAATTGATTGCATCGCAATATTTTGCACATTTCTTGGTGCCATTAATTAACCAACTAAGATCAATTAATCAATAGAGTTAGAATATTGTTTTTGATTCCAAAAACTAGTTGAATTTGAGAAGCACACAAAACATAAAGGTGATTGAATTTCTGTTCGATTGCAATACTCTCAAATTTATTCTATTAAGACCAGGCCAGTGACAAGTGCCTATACCAACAGCAGCGTTTGACAGTAGGCAGCATATCCCGGGCTCAAATCATTTATTTTGCTGTGCTGGGCCCGCTGTCACCGTATAACCAACAATCAATACGAAACTAACGATTTTAAAATAGCTCAATTACTTGACTAGCCTTTTGGTCCCAAGCAAACGATTAACGTACCCCATTCTAGTCGAAATTCTAGTACTACGCAATGTTTGTTTTGATTCGCTATGAAAGTTTGACAGATAAAATGAGGGGTTATAGATTTTTCCTATGTTTCGAGGGGTGAATCGATTAGCTTGGAACCGAAGAGAGTACCGAAGAGAGCTGAGCCAAAAAGTTGAGCACGTTATTTCGGGACCTTCTGGTCTTAGAGTTACCTCTATGGTATAACATGTTGCCTACACGCCTGCCACTGGACTGAATAAGACTAAGAAATCCTCGGAAAAATTCTAATGGAAATGTTCGATTGGCTCAGACTTTGACAGTTCATTCGGCTCAAAACATTCTCTCCCTCTGAGTATTTCTAGTTTTAAATATAGTCGCTATATTCATAGTCTGGCGGATAGAATCTCGGGAACCAACACAGAAACAAAATCCATAGCCGAAATTACTATATTGATGGTTTAAATTAAATACTCCCACCAATAGATTTGTGCAGAAACGAAATTCATTTAATTTTACTATTTTTTCTATCAAAACTACTATGCCGTTTGAGTAAGCATAGTAGTTTTGACAGAATGGTATTAACTTTGTTTACATTTATAGTCAATTATACTGAAATCATGGTAAATTTAACGGCATTAAGCGTAGTTATACCGAAAATAAGTGTTTTCTGCAAAATAGTATTTCTAACTATGGTCTTTGTTTCAGTGAATCGAGCAAATTATGACCAACAACAGAAAAGAGCACATCAGCGTTAGTGAACAAAACTTCGGAAACCCCTTTCTCATGACTCAATTCTCGCCTACGAAAACTAGCACCATCTTTGGGTTGAGGAAAGTTTCCCCTATCCGAAGATGCCGGCAGTTTGCGTTCGATTGGCGAGGAAAGAATAATCAACGTTGTGTTTATAAAAGTGGATAGTACCTTTTCAATTGTTGGTCCGCTTTTGATAGATCGAAATTCTATCCGCCAGACTGAATACACAGAAATTCAAAACAACCCAAAATTAAGTTCTTTTCACTCATCTCCCATGTTCCGTACGATAAGCCAAATTTGGGTAAACCGGCTCAAAGTAGTTTGCATTTAAGCACGGCAAAAAAAATTACCCATCGCTAAGTTATTTTCAATTTTTTCTACCCAAAATTAAGTTCAATTAACTCAAATTTGGGTATATCGCATATTACTTAATTTTGGCTTCTCGTACGGAACTAGACGGTTGAGTCGAATCTTTCGTTCTATTTTTGACAACAATAGCGAGAGGAAATGAAACGGGTAGAGGTCAAATAACTCAAATTTGAGTTTAAAAAACTCAAGCGGTGGGTAGTTTTGTTTTTCTGTGATAGATCATTGCATGATGACGTCACCAACAAAATTTTGACAGTTCAGGGAGCTTGTTTACATGGACATAGTAGTTTTTCGGAAGTTTCGATTCGAGTGCTCTTAAAAGCAAGGTTGCAAAGACTCATTTCAGCTAAAATAATGTATTTCGGAATAATAAAACCAAAAGATGGTATGATGGCATGTTTTACTTGTAACTTACAAGAAGAGGTTACAAAGTATGCGTTGGAAACATAAAACCTGTAAATTTTGCTTTCTATGAGTCACAATCAGCGATTTGCTGATCGCTGAGTGAGTGAGTGAGTTTGTGAAAAATCGCTGATTGTGACTCTCATGAAGTGAAATAAACAGGATTAATATGTCAAACACATTCTTTGCAACCTCTTCTTGTATCCTACCAATTCAAAATTTGATCATGGCATCTAATTATTTCATAATTTAGAAAAACATTGTTTTAGCTGACATGAGTCTTTGCAACCTTGCTTAAAAGTTGACTGTGATCTGAACATGACCAGGACGTGTGTTTTAAAAAAGTGCGAATCTAAAAGAGATCGGAAAGGATGTCGGTTCTTTAAGTTTCCATCAGAATCCAAAAATCGTTTCCTAAACTCGTTCCTAAACGCTTTGAATGCCAAGCGTAGAAAACTGTGGTTTTATGCATTGAAGCTGGAGGAGAATTTTCAGTGGAAATTCAAATATGTTTGCTCTCGACATTTTTGTTCCGGTAAAGCTTGTCGTTATTTGTTGAAAGTAAAACTTATGAAATTTTTTGATTCTAGGAAACCCTGCCAAAGCAACTGATGTCAGAGAAGTGGATTGGGTGCCGTCTAAAAATTTGTCCCAACCGGATGACTCAAGTTCCACTTACAGTTCGAGTTCCAGTTCGATTTCAAGCTTAGAGGAACAGGCGAGGGAACAGGAGAATACGACGAGTATAACAATCGAAGGAGTCGAAAATGTTCGTATTTGTTGTAGCTCAAACCAGTCTTCATCCTCGTATTTACCCTCAATCAAGGCACAGGAGGATAGTAGTGATGGTCGTACCAGTGGCAGCTCTTTTACACCAACAGCGAATACCGAAAAAAAATCCGAAACATTGGACAACCGCGAGTTTGTAGGATCCCCCACGTCTTCACCCCGGTTCAGCAACTGTGATAGCGAAGCATCTTCCCCAGAGTTTGATGATGATGAACTGCCAAACTGCTTAGATCGTGCCATACAAATTGGAGGTAGGAAAAGTGTTACTGAATTTATAATTTAGTTAACCATAATGCCTATCTTTTACAGATTCATTCAAAAGTGCGAACGAAACATTTCAAAAATACTATAATGAGATTTTCCGTCTCCAAGATCACTGCTACGAGCTACAAAACCAGGTGGCAGCATACAGACGAGGGATTACATTTCTCACAACTGATGCAAAATGTAATTATTTTACTGGTATTCAAAACACAGTTGTTTTGAAAAAGTTATTCGCATTCGTTGAGCCTGCTTTGGACACTCTGCATTGCAGTCTTTCTACGGATCAGATGTTCGTTATGACTCTGACTAAGCTGCGCCTCAACACACCACTAGCTTCATTAGCTTATGACTATAATGTACCATCTCAAAATATTTCCATCGTACATTGTACATTGTTTACCAATGTTGTCAGTGGGCTGTTGAACCAACGCCTGTAAGTAACTTGCTCCGACATACACCCGTAGAGTTCAAGTTACTATATGGTGAAAGGCGGGTCTTCATCGTTGATTGTTTCGAGGTTAGATGTCAAACGCCAGGGTCCTCGAAGGCAGCTGCGTCTCACTACACAGCAACTACAAAAAAGTGAGACAGTCAAGTTTTTAATAGCGGCTCATCCAGATGGCACCAGATGACATCCGTAATAAGCCCTTAAGTATTTTGATTGCATTTTAACTTCAACGCACCGGTTCTTTGTATTGCGTGCCCCTCGATCTACGCGTCAATCGTTCCTATCGTGCCAGCAACCAGCCAAATCGTACACTGAAACAGACCCAAATGGCCAAAACACGCTCGGAAGTTATATAGAAAGGTTCTCACGAGGAACCCAGGATGCATACTGATGGACAACATTATCTAGCCAAATTTACCAGGCTTCAGGATGAACGTAGTGAACACAGGACAAATACAGTGGAATTTGTATAACGATTTTCGAAATATTCTTTGACAACGGAACGAACGCCTATAGTAGAAATAGTACTAATTCAATGAAATCTATCCATAAAGAAAACTTATGCGAAGGTTATATATTGCGATTACATTTTATAACTGAGCAAATTATCATCGGATCCATTCTCTAACATTTTTCATCATTTTAGCTTGTTAGAAATACCCCTTCTGTTATCAATTTATCAATAACGATTTCAAATTCAATGCATATTTAAGAAAAATAACCCTAAATCTTGTTATCGACCGAACCATGGGGATCGAACAAAAGTGAATGTCCAAGAAACAAAATTAAAAAAAAATCATCGCCTTTCCGGCGTTGTCGGTTTACTTATCCAGCGGTTGCACACCAAACCGGAAGCGCAGCACTCCGCTCGAATAGAATCCGGTATCGCTGAGCAGTCGCTTTCGTTCCATGAAGCAGTGCCATCCATAGCCGGCATCAATGGTATCGAATGCACTTTCCGTACACTGGATGACATTCTTCTTCGGGTCGTCGTGCAGCAGTTCAATGAAGTAGCGACACTTGGTGCGAGTTCCCTTTCGCAGGACTACGAAAACCTTCAGGTTTGTTTCCTCCAGTGTCTGTGCAAACGGGTACACCCGGAGGCACCAATGACGCTCCGAACTGTCGACGAGATCGTTGGAATGGATTGCTTCCGGGGATTTCTTCGGGGTTTTGGCCAGGCTGAGAGCGAAGTGCATGATGCAGTATTTGCTGGAATAGAAAAAGAAAGTGCTGTAAATTGTTATTGCGTTTTTCTATATAGGAATAAGCGTTACCAATTGATGTCTTTTCCCGAGGATGTCACCTGTTTCTCCAGGTCAGTAATCGAGCTCTTCATGGCACGACAATGGTTCTTGAAGAACCGGTTCTCCGTGATTGCATTCAACGGTCGCAAACCCACCTTAACCACGAGTTCATTATTCTTACGCATGAAGCCTTGCTCTAGGATGTACTCTACGGTAGCAATCTCTTCCTCCTTGGGCGGACCATGAATGGTGAACGTCTTGGTGAGGTTCTTGGATATGTCGTTCGGATGGGGAAGTTGCACCAGCAGCTTGTACGGATGCTTGGCCGCTTCCGCCTCGTAAGGGCTGACCTTAATGCAGAGCAATTCCTTCTTGCGCAGAAAAGCATTCCACATCGTGCCGCAGGACGTGGTCAAATGCTGCGGCCAACCGGCAAACGTGCCATCAAAATTCATCAACGTGTACTTTTGCATCTCGTACGGTGGAACAAGTTCGCTGAAATCAATAGAAACGATTACCGGATGTAATATAAGTTGACTTTTGAAACTACCATCCAACATCCTCAAACTGCAACGCGTAGAAGCCCTTCGGAGCGCAATCGGCGATCAGCTCGTCGCACTGCTGGTAGACCTCCGATTGCTTCTGAAAAAATTCCGCTGGCGGCATCTGGTCGATCATTTTGTGGAGAGTGGCAGCCAATTTCTGTTTCTTGGCCGGGAACTGGGCACGCGTTTCCAGCTTTCTCTTGCGATTGACCGTGAGCCGATTGACACTTTGCTTTGCCTCCTCGCAGATCGCATCGATTTCGTCCAGAACCGCCCGTTCCGCCGACTGGATGGTCGTTAGGTTAATCGCGCAATGTTTGGCTTCACGCTGCAGAACGCCGACCGTTTCCTCCAACCGGGCCAATTTCCGTTCCGTTTCCACTCGCTTCTCCTGGAAGACCGTTTCGACGAAATCGATCTGATGGCGCATGTGGGCCGCTCCGGCCAGAAAGCAGTCCCCACAGATGATGGCCTCGCACGTCAAACAGAACAGGTTCATTTCTTTTCCGTGGGACCAGCAACGTTCTTGCTTTACCTTGTTGACCGTCGTCGGCGGTTCAGGTTCGGGTTCGATGGTCACTTCCACTTCTTTCTTGATGTTGCTGCTGGTGCAAGCTTGAGCGGCGGTACAGTTGGGACATACCCGGGCCGTCAACAACGAAATGAAACGAGCTTGGCTGCTGTCAAGGTCGTCATCTTTGAGACCGAAACAGCTTCCGCAGCTGATTTGCAGACACTCGGAACAGGAAATCGCCATTTGGGCTGCCTTAGCGCACCCGAAGCAGATAGGAACCGGTAGAAGAGACATTTTACCTGTTGTTTCGGACCTTTTTGAAGAAATTTGACCGGTTTTTTACGTAGGAAAAAACTAAAATAGATTGTATCGACGCACCACGTGAAATTACGGAAATTACCGAAATTACTTGTTTCGCACCAATAGACGAGTGCACGGATGGATTTAAGTTCACTCACTCGACAAAAAGTGAAACAACAGCGGGGCCCTGTTTACTAAAAATGAACACATGTGTTCATTTTTAGTAAACAGGGCCCCGCTGTTGTGTCACTTTTTGTCGAATGAGTGAACTTAAATCCATACGTGCACTCGTCTATTGACGAGTGCACGGACGGATTTGAGTTCACTCACTCGACAAAAAGTGACACAACAGCGGGGCCCTGTTTACTAAAAATGAACACATATATGTTCATTTTTAGTAAACAGGGCCCCGCTGTTGTGTCACTTTTTGTCGAGTGAGTGAACTCAAATTCATCCGTGCACTCGTCAATGAGTCGATTACGGAGGTTCAGCAATCGGTTAGTGCATCATTGAAAAATTACTGTACGATACAAGCAATAGTGACGTCAACGTATATATACGTTGATTTTCTAGAGCAACATGTCAAAAGGGCCTATCTACACTGAACCAATATGACATATTCCTGTTATGTGGAAATCTTATAAATTTGCGCTATAAGATAATCCATTGAAAATTATATGATTGAAAATGTGCCAGGTAAATTCTATATGAATATCTGATACATTTACAATGCTGATAATTTGGCAACTTTTATATGATCGTCGTATGATAAGTGAAAATCGATCAAATTATAATAATTAACTGAAATGGATTTGAAACCCATAAGCATAAGCTACACTTTTCACCACAATATAATATATGTGTCATGAATCAATCGAAGTAAAGTTTGTGTGAAAATCACATGAAATTTACTTCTTCTTTTGACACATATATTTAATCGATTTCTAAAAATAAATCGAAAAATAAACATCAGGCAGTGGGAGCTTTCACAGTTGTGCCTTTTTTTATTGTAGCTGATTTGGGATTCGATCAAGGACTGTTGAGGTGTGATGCTTTCGGTGTCTGCGCTCGATTTCACTGGGCCACGGCTGACTTCAAGATTGAGCTCGTTCAAATAGCATGAAGTAAGAACAGCTCTCCCGACATGGAATGCAGTGCAACGTTATGCTCGTTTTGCTAGAGTGAAGACAAATAGCACTGACAAATTTATGTTCCGTTTCGGTGGTGTGGTTTGTTCAAATCTTTCTTAATGCACCTGTGTGCAATAAATCAACGACTAAATTATATAAGTTGATGTAACTGGTTCATGAAGTTCGAGTACTAGGGCTGGAATCTGAATTAGCCGTGTAGAAGGCTTACAATTAGAATCATAGCAAAGTAAATATTGCAGTAGAATCATTTTTTTTTTCAATCTCAATACATACTTTTCCGGAAACAAACAAAGATTATTCAATACAGTATCATTGTTGTTAGTAGTATTTAGTTCAACTAATCATTTTAATGAGTGTACGATAACATCGTTGAAAATTGTTTCAATAATTTATAAAGAACAATCATGTAAGATGTATTTTATTGGGAGCGATATTCAGCCCAGAAAAACATGCAAAAACAAACGTTTGCTGTTGGATTTCTTAAAAGGCATATCTATATGACTATTAAATGATTGGGATGGATCTGTTTACAATCTTTAAACCTCAAAAATCAAAGGAAGCTATTCCAATGAGATATACATGTTTTCCTATACTGCAAAGTTAAATGACAGTCCAATAGTTTCTTCATGTCTGTTTACACGCGACATATCAACAAACGTCAAAAATCATTAAAAGCAACTCCAATAAAATATACATTAATATGATATATCTTTTAGTGAGCAATATTCATCATGAAAACAGGTGGAGAAGTAACGCCTGTTGCTGTTGGGGATCTAGTCCTTGTAGTGAACGACGCCCGTAGGAACGGATGGATTCGAGGAAGGATCAAGGATGTCGTGGCTTCGGAAGATGGACGAGTTCGGCAAGCTATAGTTCAGACTGCGAGGGGGATGTTACGTAGACCAGTGTCGAAGTCGGCCGTGTTGGAGGTTGAGTCTGGTGGTAACACTGGAACCGGTGGCCAGTGTTACGGGGGAGGATGTTGCTGCCAACACTGCCCCACGGTGTTACCGCCTCGGTTACCGCAACCGAACGACATCACCGCTTCTGGCGAACGGTGTTACCACGATTTAAAACGTCAAACGTAAAAGTTGACGGACAATGACGTGGCCGATGAGAGGATGTCTGTAGAAAATCTTAGAAGTGAAAAAAAAGTTAGAAGTAAAGTAAAGTGATTGTAATAATCATTAAATTAAGCCTAAAACCCAGGGGGACGACTTTATCTACGATGCAGGAAAAATTGTGTTTTGCTGTGGCTAGCTGCACGTACGCTGAGTAGATAGAAAGAAGATTTATCACGATTTTGAAGATTTCCTGCAAAAAGATGATGCGCGATGCAAGTAGATGCGAGAAATGAAAGAAGATTTTTCGAAGATTTATTCGCTAGTGTGAGATTTTTTGTTCATCAATTGAGATTTAGATGTTTCGCCCCTCTCGCCTAAAACTATATTTTTCAGTTCTTACAGCTAAAGTTGTACTTAAACTATCTTACCCTATACTATCACAGTTAGTTATCACAGTTAGAAGATCACAGCCGTAAGTTTATATAAAATACTATTAGAAACTATATATAACCTAAAATTTATCGCAGATTGCTTCACATACGAGGATTTCGGTAAGGCATTAATATCATAGAGGTAACTCTAAGACTAGAAGGTCCCGAAGAAACGTGCTCAACTTTTTGGCTCAGCTCTGGTACTCTCTTCGGTCCCAAGCTAATCGATGCACCCCTCGAAACATAGGAAAATCCACTAACCCCTCATTTTATCTGTCAAACTTTCATAGCGAATCAAAACAAACATAGTGTAGTACTAGAATTTCAACTAGAATTGGGTACGTTAATCGATTTACTTGGGACCAAAAGGCTAGTCAAGTAGTGAGCCAATTTAAAATCGTTAGTTTCCACCGGTTGTTAATATCCCATACGCTCAAAACCGAATAATTGTAAGTAGTATTATAACTAAATGAATTAAATGCTAACTTAAGCTAATAAATATTTCTAACGCAGTTTACACATTTTATCAGTAGACCCCTTTTTCCACGAAATGTGTGAAATTTTACACATTAATGTGTTTACGCTGGTTACCGTATATTTAATGATAGTCCATGCAGTATCTGTCAAAAACCCGAAAACGTATCTATTGTGCGCCGGCCTTCAAGGCCGAAAGTCGATTGTTCCGTTTTTGACAACAACAAAAGAGTGGAATGCAAAACTCAAAATTACCCAAAATTAAGTAAAAAGAACTTAAATTTACGGTAATTTTTTTTTCTCTGTGTGCGATCGACTCACCGACTCAAGTAAGCGCCCGGCGAATGAGAACGACCCAAATTTGAGTTTAGTTCACTCATAATCGCCAAAAGTGCAGGAACTCAGCGATGAGTAAAATTTGTCTCATGGTTTCCTGTGGAAAACCTAAAAAAATCTGCCGGAAAATGAGGAAATTGACGAAAATTTTATTCAGTCTCGGAGTAGTACCAATAGACGAGTGAATCCAATCTTTACTTTTCTCAAATTCGGGAATTTTTCCCTGGACAATCCTGGAAAAACCTGGGAAAACATGAGGCAAATTAAGGGGGTATTCCCGATCTTTTTTTTTTCAAAAAATCAAATTTTTTTTTCACGTTTTTTTGTACTTTAGACTATATACTTTCATCCCCCCAAGCCGTTTTCCGATCAGCGAATTCGGTGTTCAGGCATAGCTGACTAATGGTAAGAACCCCCAAAATGGTTTTAACTAAAGTCAAAACTTTAAACGCGTTTTTCTCGAAACCACATTTTTTTTATCGGGCGAAGATTTTTCTCAGAAACTATAAGAGATATTGACTTGCGCATTTTGTTCCTTATTAAATTCTTTGGAGCTTCTCCCACTTTCAGCCAAAAATATTAACATTTAACATTGTTTGAAGCACCTTAAAGCTGCAAAAAAGCGGGCTAAAAATCGCCTGTTTTTTCATATGGCCGCCATTTTGTTAATTTGCAAGATTTTTTGCTGCCAACAGGAGAAGCTCCAGAGAATCTTATGCAGATTATTAAATTCATCACGAAATCTGTTTCAGATGAAGCCGTTCCAGAGAAAAGTCTTCGCCCGTCCAGGCGTTTGCGGCGAACAGGGGTCTGTTTGTCGCCATTTTGTGACGTCAATAATGTCTTTTTTTATGTCGAAAAAAATTTATTTGTTAACTTTAATGTTCAATAAACAAGAATCCCAAAGAGTTAGGCGCATTACTATTCATTTACCTTGAAAAAAAATAATTGAAAAACAGGCCGAAAAAAGGCAAAAGATTGGGAATACCCCCTTAACTCATCGCTGAGTTCCTGCACTTTTGGCGATTATGAGTGAACTAAACTCAAATTTGAGTCGTTCTCATTCGCCGTGAAATTAACTCATCGCTGAGTTCCTGCACTTTTGGCGATTATGAGTGAAACTAAACTCAAATTTGAGTCATTCTCATTCGCCGTGCGTTCGTTCTAAAGTTGAAGTGTTTCTGAAGGGCCCTAATAAACCCGCCGCTCACGATTGTCAAAATTCGACATGACGTTTTAGCGACGCTAATAGCACCGATAGGGCATCAAGCAGTCACCAAAACAAAAGATTTTCAAAAAGTTGCATTTTTCCACGAAGTGATGTAGCCTTTAAACCTAAAAAAAATAGTATTATCCTACATTAAGTCCAGCGGCATTAAATAACCAAAGACTGTACGATGAAGTGGATGACGACCGTAGTTTTGGGCGCTGCCCTCCGTTATCTGCTGATGACATCGAACTACGCCAGCACGATACAGAATCGGGTCGAAGTGGCCACCCCGGTCAACTCATGGAAACGAGGTAATTTTAAGTTCTTAAAATTGAATGTAAATCACCACCGAAGCATGTTACAGCAATCGAAGGTGCTTTCCTGTACGCCAACGGGACCAACCCCTACGACGGAGATCTCTATCACCAGAACCCATTTGTGTTGGTTTCGGTTTGGTGCCTGATGCAGAAGTTTTCCGCTTTTACCAGTGCCATATTCATCCACCTGGAAGTGGGAACGATTCTGATGCTCAAGTGTGCTGCCGGCGTTTTCATCCGTAACCTATACGACACCCAACGGAGTCGGTTTGCAAGTTTTGCCAAGGGGACGAGAGAGCTGCAAATTTCGCCGGATGATGTGCGGATGGTACCGTACTATGTCGCTCTAGCGTACATGTTCAATCCGTACTCGATCCTGAACTGCGTTGGCCAAACGACGACGGTTTTGAGCAACTTTTTACTAGCCCTGTTCGTCCTGGGAATGGCACACCGGTTGAGGTTGGTGGCCTGTGTGGCGTTGGCTCTGGAAACGCAAATGAACATCTACCCTTGCGTTCTGATCATTCCGGCGGCGCTGTTCATTGCACAAGACGAAAAGAACAGATTGGTCAGCATGCTCATCACTTGCGGAACGTTTCTGTTGACTTTCTTGGGAGTTAACTACGGTGCTTTCATAATTATGGGCGATTGGAGCTTCCTGGATGCAACTTATGGGTTTATGTAAGAATTCAGAAAGACCTAACCGAAGATTTCCGAAAATAATTGCACATTTCTCATCCGCAGCCTAAACTGCCGAGACTTGCAGCCTAACATTGGTCTGTTCTGGTACTTTTTCACCGAAATGTTCGACCACTTCCGGACGCTGTTCCTGTACACATTCCAAATCAACGCCACTCTGTTGTACCTCTTTCCGTTGACATTCAAGCTCCATCGGGAACCGATCATGCTGCTGACGATGCTGCTGGCCTTGGGGGTAGTCTTCCGTCCCTATCCCTGCATCGGCGACATCAGCATGTATCTGTCGCTGCTTCCGCTGTGGAAATCGATCTCAAAATGTAAGATAATCAATGTGGTCCTGCCAAGAATTCTGCCCACAATGAGTTTTTCCCCCTTTTTCAGTTATGGGTCACAACTTTATCGTCGGAGCGACGATGCTGGTGACGAGCATCCTGGGGCCGACCGTATGGCACCTCTGGATCTACTCCAATTCGGCCAACGCAAACTTTTACTTCGGTATGACGCTAGTCTTCTGCACGGCGCAGATTTTCCTCATCACCGATCTATTCTTTGCCTACATCAAGCGCGAGTTCTGTCTGAAGCACGGCATGAACATCACAATCGACGGAAAGGAGGCACGCATTGCATTAGAATAACTCTGTAGTACATCAAGTTCCCGATATAAATAGAATAAACGTCGTTTCACATATTGAAAATTTATGAAAATCAAAATTAAGCGAGTGACATAAATTGTATTTCATTTTCTCCTTCACACTGTTGCTAACATATAGGTAAATCAGTTCGTGCTGCATATGATCTCAATGTGCTACACATATTTTCCACATCAAATTCATATATTTTAAGTAATTTTCTGATAGCTCTACGTTGCATCGTTTAGCTGCGGTTGTATCGATTGCCGTAGCCGCGGCGATGATCGTCCTTGAACTCGTCCTTGGCACGCTGCCGGGCCAGGTACTCCTCATCGTCTTGCTCGACCAGCATTTCCTATTAAATAATGACCAGAAAATTATCTCAAATCTCAATCTAAGCCATCAACCCATTTACCTTCTCCTCGGCTTCCTTGTCCAGATCCGCTTCATTATCCTGATAGACGCGATTCATTAGACTGTTCTTGTTGATCTCCTTCATCCTCTCGGCGTCGGGGAATATCCCTTCGGCTACACGCTGCTCGTAAAATTCCGCTACCGTCATCGTTGGCATGCTCGGATAGCCCAGCCCATAGACCGCCTTCTGAGCCGCATCCCTCGTAATGATGATCGGCTTCAACGGTTTCGGTTGCGGTCCCTTCGGTGGATGCATTCGGCCTTCCTCTCCACCTCCGCTGTTCCTCCGCATGACGGCAAGATGTTCGAGAATTTGCTTCTCCTGGCTAATGCTGATCAGTTCTTCCTGCGTTTCCATGATACAAGACTTCAACAGCTTCAGGTAGAAGTCCCTCTTCACCTCATCATCTACGTGGTCTTCCTTCATTGCAATCTTGAGCGTCTTGATCTGGTCATCTAGCTCCTTCTTTTCTTCATACTGCTTCAACTTGGCATTCCGTCCCTGAACCATCCTCGTTAGATCCTGCAACTTATCCGGGCCACCGTGGTGTCCATGATCCAGAACTAACACCGCCGCCGGTTTATCGCACAGTTTATAATCTTCGCATCGGCGCAGAAAATCACTGCAAAATAACCCATTCAGACAAAATCCCAAAATGTCCACCTGGAAAATTACAATACTTACTTGTAGTACACCTCAGCCACCTCGACGATCTCCTTCCGTTCGGCATTGCACAGCTTCAAGGTCAACTGGCCGAGGAAGAAGGGCAACAAAAAGTAGCGTAAATTGTCTGTGGCCACCTCGTCGTCCGTTTCATTTGAACTGAACAGTCCACACAGACTGACCAGCCGGGTAGAATCCTCGAACAGACCGATGCACTTCTTGATCTTTGTCTGTGGGCGTGGGAAAATGGAGTTCTCTCGATCATCCAGTTCGGCCAAGAATACGACCTACAATCGGGAAATTTTCACATACCTGAACTTCGAAACTGTTGGTCGGATCGTAGCACGTATCCAGGGTGCTCATCAGGTCGTATCCCTCTTGGAAAATCTCGGAAAGTTTACGATCGATCGGTATATCCTGTGATTCGGCCATCTTTTTGTTTACAAATAAAAAGTAAAATGACTTCTACACGGTAAGAATAAAATAGTCCCCGAAAGTAAATTCTTTTCACTCATTTCGGCACTATTGGTGCCAGGATGGGCAGGAAGCCAAAAGTAGGTAAAGTGGGTTAAAGTAAAGAGCCTGAATTTATAAAGAGACGACATCTTATCCATTTGACAGGTCTTCTGCTCGATTGGAATGACTTTTCGTATGGCTTTGACAGATAGTCGATTGTTCCAATTTTGACATGTCGTCTCTTTATAAATTCAGGCTCTTTAGGTTAAAGTAGTTTGACTGTGCAATTCATACCTGGAATTTTCCACTCGCTTTCTACCCAAAAATAAGTTAGTTGTACGCAAAAGTAGGTGAATATGATTATACACAATGTTGGATTTCCACACTTTACTATCACACGACCCACTCTCGCACATGCACGCTAACTTTTGCTTACTCACCAGGTGAGTCGATCGTACTCACTTTCGTCCGATGTATCGAGTTGTCAAAAATTGAGTAAACGAGAAATGTCAAACTGAGTAAAAGCCACTCAGTCAGCAAAATCCTGGACTTGGAAAAAATACCAGTCATGTAGGAGGAAACCTTATAGAAAATGTTTTTCTAAAGCGGCTGAAATGCCTTCAGGTAAGTACGAATTGCTTAGGGAAACGGTGTTGAACCGTTTTTTGCTCCGGTAGAATGAATCCGGAGCAGGCAATTCCCATTTCCTTGAATAAAACTCAAAATAAAAACCCTCCCCGCAACTGAAAATACCGGCGAGTGGATTTGACTCAGTCTACGTGAGAACGTAGTTTACTCAAAAGTGAGTCAACATAAGGCTACTCAATTTTGAGTAGCCATACTTGCCGCTGAGATGAATACATTCGACTCAATTTTGAGTTGACCAGAATGTGATGCGGGATTCACAGAGCCCTTCAGAATTGCTGTCGTTCTCCATGAACAGGTATGCAGCCATTTCTCGCGTCATTTTTCAAAAGGTCCTAAGCAACAAATGTAAACAAATCGAGTTAAGCGATACAAACTATTGCTCTTTTATCATTGTATGTGATACAAAAATATCCATCCAAATTTACTTTCTTTTTGGGAAAACAAACCGTGCATTCATCCATGTGTGCTAGATAGAGAAAGACGATTAAACGTCAAAAAGGTCTATGTACAGTTTGAAATGATGGGTACATCATTGCTACTTCGGTCATTCGGACTGCCTAACATGATTGGTGCTCATTTTCTAAAGGCGGGGCCAATCTAAAGTTAGGTATTCTACACGCTTTTTCAAAACTACCCAAATTTGGGTAGAATCCACTCAGATCGGTCAAAACTGAACCTGAGTTTTGACCGATCTGGGTGGATTCTACCCAAATATGGGTAGTTTTGAAGTAGCGTGTACGCGCTTACTTCAGCTTACTCACCGGGTGAGTCGATCGTACTCAATGTCGTCTGATGCATTAGGTTGTCAAAATCTGAGTAAACGAGAAATATCGAACTGAGTAAAAGTCACTCAGTCAGCCAAATCCGGGACTTAGAAAAAAGAAACGGCGAAACTCTTGTAAAACTTTCTTATTGCCTTCCCGCATAAACCATAACTTGACCTTACCAAAAATGGTTAAAAATTGTTTATAATCCCTACTAAACTTTAACTGAAATGGTTACGGAACTTTACATGAAGGTTTGTGTGGTAAAATTTTAACCTTGTGTATTATGGTTTTTTGGAAGTGAACCTTACGAATAATGGGTTGTTAATAACCATTACTCGAGGGGGGCGACTCTATCTAAGATGCAGGAAAATTTTTGCTTTGCTGTTGTGAGATGCACTCGCGCTTAATAGATAGAAACACGATTGATTATGATTTTGAAGATTTCCTGCAAAAAGGTGGAGAGCGATGCGAGTAGATGGGTTTAGATGCAAGAGATGAAAAAGATTTTTCGTAAATTGATTCGCTAGTGTGAGATTTTTCGTCATTTAAAATTGAGATTTAGATGTGTCACACCCCTCGCCATTACTATTTGAAATAGTTGTTTTCTCAATACATTTTTGGAAAGAGAACTATATTAGAACCTTTTTACTTATGGTTTGAGAAATTTACTGCTAAAGGTTTTTTTTTAGCTAGTTTGTTTATTTGGAAGGCTCAATCGCGTTAGCTTTACGGAGCCGATAGTTCATTGTTCTTTGTTTGTAACAAAATTCACTTAATTCTATGTCTAGTAGGAGTTGGGCCGAATACTCGCGGCTTACTCGAGGTTAGAGAGGTACATTGTCGAAGGATAGGATCAGGGGAGAAGCTTTGTTTGTCTCATCAGGGGTTTGTTGCCTCATCAGAGCGTTGTCGCCAGTATAAACAGTAGTGTGATTCTAGATTCGTGTGGAGTTCGACCGGCTATGGTGGGTGACCAGTGGGCGACGATGAGACTCATCGAGGGGGGGGGGACAAGACAAACAAAAACTAATAAAGAGAGACAAAAGACAAAGGAATTAAATTCTTATACTAGACATTTGAAGAAACACATAAACCGACTGCATATCGCAGATATCGCGAGTTCCCAACACGTCTCTGATAGGAACATAGGGTTGTCTTCCTTGGGCCTCAAGGGTATTCAAAAGTCGCTCTCTGGCGGCGTAATTATTCGTACATTGCCAAACTGCGTGATCGATGTCATCGCAACCGTTTCCACACCGACAGATGTTGCTGTCCACGAGGTTTATTCTATTGAGATGAGCATCTAGCAAGTAGTGGTTGGACATAAGTCTACTCATCACGCGAATGAAGTCACGACTTAAGTCCAAGCCTTTAAACCACGCTCTCGAAGAAACATTAGGAATAATTGGATGTAACCACCGTCCAAGATTTCCATTGTCCCATTCGGTTTGCCAACTCGAAAGGGTACTCTGACGCACTAAATGGTAAAATTCATCGTGTGAAATTTGCCTGTCATAAAATTCGCCTTCCTGCGCGCCTTCCTTTGTGAGAGAATCCGCCTTCTCATTGCCTTGGATTGAGCAATGTGAGGGGACCCATACAAAGGTAATCATATATGATCTTTCGACCAGCACACTCATCTGCTCCCTTAATGGTAATGGTTATGGTAGTCAGTAAAGGGCCACCCACATTAGATCCGTTTGCGTGATTGACGTCAATTTGACAGTTAAGACCCAAGCGCAATGATAGCGGAAGCGGAACGGCAGCGGAAAAGCCCGATCTGAGTAAGCCTACTTGTCGGATTGAAAACTAGTTAAAACCAAATCGACATCGGTTAGGCTTCTTGATGTCATTTGTGACAACTGTCAAACTTTCCGTTTCCGTTCCGCTTCCGTCCACATTGCGTTTGGGCCTTTAGACAATAGATCGAGCAATAGATTTAGCTGTCACTTTGCCGCAACGCGTCCGATCTGGATCTACGGTGAGTGGACCTTATGGTACATGGATAATTTTGTATTATCGGTCAACTTCACACAATATCACAAAACCAGGGATGCCAGATCATTTTTTCAAAAGTCTGTATGAGTGTCAAAAAATATGTCTGTATTCATCTGTACACTAGAAAAATCGCCACATATTTCCCACATGTATTTTGACTATAAAATTGCTCGCCAAACACTAAACTGAATAAATAAATATTTGTGTACTTAAAAAAGTGCGTTTATACACACACAAAATAATCGTTGATAGAATTAAAAAATCCATTGGTAGAATTAAAAGTTTCCATTGGTTCTTTTTGGTAGAAAGTCCAGAGCTTTCAATATAACAATGTGTAGCCTTTCAAATCAAAAGCTTCGCTTCTTATTAATTTTAAAAGTTGCAACATTTAAATCAAATTGAAGACATGTCAAATTAAAAATCAAGGTTTTTCAAATGAAGTACGGATTGTTTCACATCAAAAGATGCTATTTTCAAAGCAAGAATATAATTTTTACCTCAAATTGGAATTATTTTCAAATTAATAGTTCACAAAATTGAAAAGAAAGTTTCTAAACCTCGTTCTAAACCTAGATTCCAGCTTGTATTTTTATCATTTTCAATAGTTATGTATTTCCCATTTCCATTAACAATAAAAAAAAAAACAAACATTTTATTTAATGACCTCAGATTGTTGCCGTAAGATGACGACGATCGACATGAAGGCGGTGATTATGGTGACACTTTGAGAAATTGAGCCTTCATTATGCACTCCCAAACCTTTCCAAGGTAGGATTGTATATAGGGTTTGACCTTCGAGTAATGGTCCAATAAATGACAACTAGATAACTTTCTCATTTTTCTCATTGGAACAGCTACAGGAGATCCATCGTTTCGAATGATACGGCAAGTACATTCCATCAGTTTTACAGGAACGTTACGGAAGATGTAATTTGTAGATCGTAGTTTTGTACTATTTTGGAATTAAAAAAAGTTACACCAACCATTAAACTCGCCATTAAATATCCCAGCCATTTACCTCTTTGGAGGACTGCCACAGCATTTTTAAATCCTCCACGATGCACATGACTTTGGCGGTTATACCATAGAGGTAACTCTAAGACCACTGGGTTCGAAAGAAAATCATTATTATTTTTGGCTCACTCAGTACCAGAACAACGGTCCCAAGCAGTCCCAAGCTATTTCACTCACCCCTGCATGTTCTGCATGAATCCACACACCCCTGATGTTATCTGTCAAACTTTCATAGCGAATCAAAACAAACATAGTGTAGTAATAGAATTTCAACTGGAATAGGGTACGTTAATCGTTTGCTTGGGACCAATAGGCTACTAAAGTGGTGAGCCAATTTAAAATCGTTAGTTTCGTATTGATTGTTGGTTATACCGCTCAAAAACCGTTCCCACAAGTGTCCTACCACATCGGTAAACGATTGCTTCTGAGGAAAATAATTTTCTAATACAAAAATTCGTAAAACCAGCAATGATTCCAACAGATTTTAAATTAATTATGACGGCTTTTTTTGTTTTTTGACACAAATTTCTGGAATACACGGCTGACTTCCTTAAGTGAAAATTTCACTACCGAAAAAGGCGGCAAACGCCTTCAGTGCTTCAGTGCTGACAGTGAAAACGTTCAGTGAATATTAATTTTTGACAGTTGAACAATTTTTCTTTTGAAAAATGCACTTTTAAAATTACAAGTCGAAAGTGAAAGAAATACTTTCAATTCAAAAGGATAAATTTTGTGTTAAATGTTTTCGTGCTTGAAACTACGTATTTTAAGAAACTTTCAATTTGAAAATACATTATTTTTATAGATACAATTTTTGTTTTTTGTGTGTAGGTTTTTATTTTAATTTTTATTTCTAATACGAAGTCAAAACTAAAAAAAGCATTTTGCTGTTGAAAATCACGAGATTTAAAAAGATAAATATCTTATTCAAGGTCCATATACCAGACCATCGGAATAAAATAAAAACATAACAAAGTAACATGTGGGTAAAGCTTGAAAGAGGGAAAATCTATTGTTTCAAATAAAAATAAACGAGAAATGATCAGAACTTACCGAACAGATGTTATTATTTAGTCTTATCATAAGTGTTGCTTTAAAATAGTCGAAAAGCCGAAAACGAAGGGGGCGACTCTATCTAAGATGCAGGACAATTCTGAAGATTTCCTGCAAAAAGGTGGAAAGCGATGTGAGTAGATGGAGTTAGATTAAAGAGATGAAAAAAGATTTCTCGTAGATTGATTCGCAAGCGTGAGATTTTTTGACCATGTAAAATAGAGATTTGGATGTGTCGTACCCCTCGCGAAAAGCTGTGCATAATCATAATACGTACCATACCCAAAAAACAATTGTAGCTGCAGACTAGCTTATACAGGCAAAAATTAGCTGTATACACACTTAATCTAGCTCGGTAAAATCTCCAACAGCCGATTACCTCGGCATTTATTTTTGCTGATATCTTTGCAAAATATCTGTTTGTTAGCTGATATCTCAGCAAAAAGTTATTTCTTAGCTGAGTCTCGGCAATTGTTTTACTGAATCTCAGCAAAACAAATTGCAGAACTGCTCGGCTGTTGGAATCTCGGCGAAAAATTTTAAGTGTGTAAGCCAATTTTCAGCTGTATAAGCTAATCTGCAGCTAAAATTGTTTGTTGGGTACCCTAATAAAAATAACCATAAAAGAGAGCTTAACGACGTGTTCGGGGTATTATCCAAACCATTTGTGGGATAGTTTACCCATCCGGGATACAGTTCGTTTATGGTATTTGTTTATTAGGGTAACCATAACAAGATGCACACGATCGAAAATAATTTTGTTTATATTATGTTAAATTTCAGGAACCAATTGGTAAAAATCTGTACAAAATCTATATTAAGCTTCAAGTATCTGTATAATGTCTGTAGTCTGTATTGGGTCTGTACGAGACTTCAAAAATCTGTATAAATACAGACATATCTGTATATCTGGCACCGCTGCAAGACACAATATCAAAACATGCAGCATGCAGCCATATATACGGTAAACGGCCTTTTCCCCGCCATGATATTGTATAGTTTCTGAAGGGCTGCCGCCGATTTCTTTTTGTTTACAGTTTTGTTGGCATCTGCCGATGTGTCCCGGCTGACGTTTACTTGTTTTCGTTCGCGCATCTGTTCGCAACACAATCCAGCCATTCAGAACCGCCGGAGTGAATACGTGTTCGGGTAGTTCGAATCAGAATGTAGTAGCGTTTTTACAATTTTCACTAGCATATGTATGGTTCATAAAGTGTGGTAATATCTCATCTATTCAGGCGGCGAAAATAGTGTGAACATATTAAGTTTTTAACGGAGTTGGCTCTAGCAAGCCAGTGAAACGACGACAGAATGTCGGTAGCGGAATATGTCCAGCTAGCGCTTCTTCTGGGATCAGGATTTATATTTTTCCTGCTAGTGGTGGTACGTATATCTGTAACTGTATGCTAAATAATATGTAAAACTCCCTAAAAATGCATTACAAATTCAACCATACATTGTGAAGAGGTTTGTGCTATCGGGCGTAAGGATATTCGATATTTCCAACCCTTAAAAGCCATGTGAATATTTAAATTCTTTGTCATAAGCAGAGAAGTTGAAAAACTATGCTACAACCTATGTTCTACACACATACATATTTATTTGCACTGGTACAGGTTTTTGAAAATTTTCGTTGCAGACATCTGTGTACAGATTTTACAGATTTTTTGGAAAAATATTCAGATTTTTAAGCATTTACAAATAAAACAGTTTTGTAAAACTCGAAATACAATATCACTGGATTAAAGCTAAAGCAACTGATCACATCATCGTGAACGGTTTCATTCGAATGCATGTTTAATTTTTAAACCCTTTTTGACGTTAAATTTTCGCAAAATTTGTGTCTTTTACAGGTTGGAATAATCCTTAAGGTCACAACCATCCCGTTCCCGCACATTGTCCTTCATAAAGAAGAACAATACTTCCTGGACCCAACCACCGATGAGAAAAAGAAATTTCCCTCCCTTGAAGACCAACCATCCGTAGAACTGAGCGTAATAGTTCCAGCGTTCGATGAGGAAAAACGAAGTAAGGTGTCCCTGTCCCGGTTCCTCAATCAACTTTCCATTATTCTTCCTTTTATTCCAGTACCTCTGATGTTGGACGAATGTCTCGAATATCTGGAATCCAGGCGGAAATCAGAGAAAGACTTCTCCTACGAAGTGATAGTGGTCAGCGATGGCAGTCGGGATAAAACGGTCGAAGTTGCCCAGAAATATGCCTCCAAATATGGAACCGACAAGGTTCGAGTGCTGGCACTGGTGCAGAACCGTGGCAAAGGCGGTGCCGTTCGCTTGGGAATGCTTAGCGCTCGTGGACGGTTCCTTCTGTTTGCCGATGCCGACGGTGCAACCAAGTTTGCCGACTATGCAAAGCTGGAACAAAGCATGAGCAAACTCAACGGTAACGACCATACCAAAGATGCCATCTCGATCGGGTCGCGGGCTCATCTGGAGCAGGAAGCCACTGCCCAGCGTACCCTTTTCCGAACGTTGCTGATGCATGGATTCCATTTTCTGGTGTGGACTTTTGCCGTGAAAAAGATACGCGATACCCAGTGTGGTTTCAAGCTGCTAACCCGGTCGTCCGCTAGGAAAGTGTTTGCCGTGATGCACGTAGAACGGTGGGCTTTCGATGTGGAGCTGCTGTTCATTGCGCAATCGTACAATATTCCGATCGACGAGATTGCCGTCCGATGGACCGAGATCGAGGGTTCCAAGCTGACGCCATTTTGGTCCTGGCTGCAGATGGGAAGGGATTTGATTTTCATCTGGTTCCGATATGCGATAGGAGCGTGGCAGTTGCGAAAAGAACATGTGAACTGATCGCAGTTGATCTCTCCTCTCCGGTCGGGGCTTTCTCCAATGGTACAGACATGCATGCATTGATGCTAGCTTTTTTTTTAGGTTGGAATTGGAAGTTATTCCAGAGTATTTTTAAGTTCATTGCCTTTTAAATGATACGATTCGAATAAGCGTGAGCAAATGCATTTCATTTTGTTGTATCGAAATGATTGAGGTAAATATATATTTAAAAGCTCAACTTTGTTGTTCATGGTGGTGTAGTCAGTCACAACCCTATTTTCGCTTTCGATCAATACGGACCACCGACAATCAAGATAATTTTTATTGATGTTCCAGAACCATGCATTTTGACGTAGGACTACGTCTGTGATTTCTATATGGGGGTACACTTTGTGAAAACCGAAAATGGAACAAGTAACAAAATTATGAAAGATTTTGAACGTTAATAACTCAGCTGCCCCTGGACCAATTTCAATAATTTTATCACCAATCGATCAGATATATTTTTACGCATCTGCTAAATTTAAGAGATTTTGCAAAATGTCACTATTGAAAATTTCACAAATGTGCAACTGTTGCTTTGATAGTTAAAATTATCACCGATTGCCTGCGAAAAGCGATTTCCCTAACACAGAGTTCAAAGTTGAATTCCATCCGGTCTCACTCACCGCGTGGAGAGGGGTGGTGTTCTCCAGTACACACAGAAGGCTGCCTGCAAACAGCGAGCTGCAGCCCACATGAGCATCTATAGAAGGAGGAAGGAGCCGCACCGCTATTGATCGGAATCAGTAGCTCATCGTGAGTTGCTGTATGCCATCTATGTCAAGCGCGTCATACTAAAGAGAGAACCTGCTCAAATTCCTATTCCTACACAAAACACAAGTTTCTGCTGCAGTTAACAAATAAGATTTATTATAGAATACCACGTAGCCCTACGTCACCATGGCGTACAACCCCATAAGATATAGTCGCTATATTCATAGTCTGGCGGATAGAATTTCGATCTATCATAAAGCGGAACCAATTCAATATATTTTAGACCAACAATTGAAAAGGTACTATGAACTTTTATAAACAAAACGTTGTTTATTCTTTCCTCGCCAATCGAACGCAAATTACCGGCATCATCGGATAGGGGAAACTTTCGCCAACCCAAAGATGGTGTTAGTTTGCGTAGGCGAGCCTTGAGTCAAGAGAAAAGGGTTTCCGAAGTTTTGTTCGCAATAGCTGATGTGCTCTTTTCTGTTGTTGGTCGTGATTTGCTCGATTGGTTCCGCTATTTGACAGCTCTATTGGTTCCCGAGATTCTATCCACCAGACTATGAATATAGCGACTATACACAAGACTGTCCCTTGTAGTTTTTTCTAAGCATATAATTTGTAAACAAAAATTTTCTATCTTGAAAAGTCCCAGAATCTTGAAAATTTGTTGATTCCATGTTCTTAAAGACGCAGAATATTGCGTATTTCTCACCAAACTGAACAAATAAGCGCGTTTTCATTTATTAAAATGTGTGATATCGGAAAAATCGGCTTTTAGGCTCTGAACCATTTGGCGAATTATTTTAACCCTGCTATCTGAGCATGGTTATTTCTGACAGACAAGAAGTTTGATTTTGATAACCATGGCTGAGTTTTGCTCGAAAATCGGTCGATCGACAACACAGGGATTTTCTAACAAGGAAAATAACTTTCAAAATGTCACTTTTAACCACGAGTTAAATTTAACTCGACAATTGGTTCATAGCCTTAACCGGGAATCGATACCAGCTGGGAAAAACCAGGAAATAGCCGGGAACATGATTGAATTTAAAAATATATCTGTATTTATTTTGACCGAATTCTTTTAACTAGGGAAATTTACGTATTCTCGGCAATCTAAGCAGCGTCCGCACTTCTATCACCGACAAACCGACATGACACTTAATTCTGACTTATGCCCGAAAATCGCAAACGACCGATTTAAACGTGCAGTGATCTGAACTGTCAAATCCATAGGATTTATTGATCTAGATAAAAATAATTTGTCCAGAATAGATCACACACGAACCAATTCATAACTTTTGCATGCGGGTTCATGGATTAGCTAAATATTTTCCGCGAACACGGAGCCAGATGTCAGTAATGTGCTTTGGTCAGAAATTTTATTGTTTTTGCTATGGTCATTCATGTCGGTTTGTCGGTGCTTCTATTAGCAATTTCTCACGGTCATACACACATATGACGTGTTTGTTTGTTGACATGTATCTGCTGCTTGCTATTCTATCCATTCCAATCGACAGAATTGTCCAAAACGGGTTGAAAACGTTCTTACAATGCTCCAAACTTCTCAGGTGAGTGTGACTATTGTCGGAAGGCGCTTTTTATTCGGCAACCTTTCCATTTGAACTGCGCGTTAAATAGCTGCTCTATTATCGGCTACTCGAAATCAGCCGCATTTTGTAGTGCGTATGTGTCATTTTGAAGTTAATCCTGGCAAAACAGGTTTGCTCAGTCGTATAAAATGTAATCAGATTGAAACTGAAAGACTAAGGCTGTGAACCATTTGCCGAGTTAAATTTAGCTCGTGGTTAAAACATGAACCCGCATGCAAAAGTTATGAATTGGTTCGTGTCTGATCTATTCTGGACAAATTATTTTTATCTAGATCAATAAATCCTATGGATTTGACAGTTCGGCACTGACAAACCGACATGAAACTTAAACTTAACTCTTGATCGAGAATCCATAACGGCGGATTCAATTGTGCAGCGATCCCATCTGTCAAAACCATAGAAATGTTTTATCTAGATAAAAATAATTTGTCCGAAATAGATTAGACACGAATCAACTCATAAATTTTGTACGCGTGTTCGTGGCTAGGATAAACATTTTCCGCGAACACGGCGGCAGATGTCAGTTTTGAAGTCTTTGAGCAGAACTTCCTTTGTAATTTGTATGATCATTCATGTCGGTTTGTCGGTGAGTTCGGATCACTGCACGTTTAAATCGGTCGTTTACGATTTTCGGGCCTAAGTCAGAATTAAATGTCATGTCGGTTTGTCGGTGGTTAAAAGTGACATTTCGAAAGTTATTTCTTATGTTCGAAAATCCCTGTGTTACCGATCGATCGGTTTTCGAGTAGAACTTAGCCACGATTGTCAAAATTTAACTTCTTGTCTGTCAGAAATAACCACGCTCGGATAGCAGGGTTAATCGATAACTTTCCACCTGTCAAAGTTTAACCAAAAGTTAAAATAATCCACCAAATGGTTCAGAGCCTAAGAAATTGTTTAAATACATTCAGCGAAGTGTTTTGATGAGAAAATCACTGTATTTTCTTTTATTAAAATTCAATTTTTGGTTGTCGAAAACAGTCAATGAGTGTCGAAGCCGAGGCCGAAGCTATGCTTTTTTTTTTCTAAGTTAAAAATATTCCCCAAACAGTCCATGTTAATGTTTTATCATATCAAAACCGTTTCTGATATCTGATAGAATCAATGACACTGCGGTCCAAAGATTAACACAAAGCGGATATGTTGTTTCGAGCATGTCCAGCCTTAATAATCGATTAGCAGAAGAGCGTCGACGGCTCCAAACTCGAGGATATGTGGTTCACTTCTAGAGTAAACTCCCCCATTGGACGGGAATATAGGAGATGTTGCTTTCTGGATATCATAAAGCTGGGTTTAGACAGGGCAAGTCAATTGATTAAGTCAGTTGAATTCAACTGACTTGAACGCGAATTGAACGTGTAAACCATGCAATTCAACTGACTTGATCAACTCACTAGAATTTAAAAAAGTTGAACCAGGCTCAACTTATCAAGCCAATTGAATTCAACTGAGTTGATCATTTGACTTGCCTAGTCTAAACCCAGCATAAGTGCTGATGGTGCGGAAAGCTTCAACAACTGCTGATTCAACTTCAGTCAGCCGAAACGTCTGAAGTTATCGTCAAACGGTCAAGATCCTAGCGGATGGCATATTAAATATTAAGTGATGGAGGTGTTCTTCGGAACCTACCTTCGCTCTGTCGGTAAAGGCGCAGCTACAAAGCAAGACCAAGCTGGAGGTGGCTGGGTTCGATTCCCGGTCCGATCTAGGAATTTTTCGGGTTGGTAAATGTCTCAACTTCCCTAGGCAATAGAGTATGATATGGTATGATTGTACTTGCCACACAACTATACTAATGTTAAAATTGTACAGGCATCGAAAGTACTCAATTAATAACTGTGGAAGTGCATCTAGAACACTAAGGCACAATCAAACACCAATAACACTTAGAAGAAAATACTTCAAAAAATATCGGAAAGTGTACTTTGTATGCGCACTATTGTCGCGCTATTGTTAAATTCTCATTTGGTGACGGTCGGAGCGTGCCGCTCATTAGCGCGTTGCAACCCCGCCCATAATATAATTCTTACACAGGTGTGTAACTTAGATAGTATTTTATGGCAGCGGCTTGAGGAGCGAATCCTGGGTAACGAACCGCCGTGTGGTAAATCAATGGGCGCAGTCGTACGGCTATAAACAGAGAACAGATGGTATAATCACAAACGAAGTGACAGACGGAGCGGCTCGAAAACTTTGGTGACTAACCTGCTATTTCAATTTTTCAGTGTACCACATGGCAACACCACTACTACTGGATTGTACCACATGGCAACATTACTAATGGATTGTACCACATGGCAACACTAAATGTACTAGAATGTTTTGGTTCTATCTCTTTCACTCTACTCTAAACTGAAATGCATAAAAAAAATGAGAAAATGATACACTCTGTGCACTAGACTGATGCAAAATTTGACTTTTTCGCTCCACAGTGCTTAAATGGTTTCAAATCGGGTCCTGATTAGCCTCTCAAAGTTACAACTCATTTGGCTAGAAACAGGCTTCGCACAAGCCATTTGAAGTTTACATGTAAATTACTATGGGAAATCTCAACTTTTTGTTCATTGCCTTCTAGTCTTTTTCCATATTGAGCTGCGGAACAGTTCAATAGCCATTCTTATAGAAAAATTTCTCAGCTACAATTTTGCTGAAGATTGTTTCTATGTAAAATGAGAAAGGAAAAAGTTATTAATTATTTAAGAGATTGGTAAACTTATGACATGATCAAGCAGCTGCTCTGTAGGCAACACTGTATTTTGCAATGTGACAGTAGCCATGATTTGTGTGTCCTATTCAACGCCCCAGAAACACCAATGTTGCCTG